CCGCCTTCCTTCCACTACAGACTGATACACTCTTGAAGTCATTCTGTTTTCGCTCCATTCTCTCTACATGTCCGAACCACCTCAACAACCCTTCCTCAGCCCTCTGGACAACAGTTTTGGTAATCCCGCACCTCCTCCTAACTTCCAAACTACGAATTCTCTGCATTATATTCACACCACACATTGCCCTCAGACATGACATCTCCACTGCCTCCAGCCTTCTCCTCGCTGCAACATTCATCACCCACGCTTCACACCCATATAAGAGCGTTGGTAAAACTATACTCTCATACATTCCCCTCTTTGCCTCCAAGGACAAAGTTCTTTGTCTCCACAGACTCCTAAGTGCACCACTCACTCTTTTTCCCTCATCAATTCTATGATTCACCTCATCTTTCATAGACCCATCCGCTGACACGTCCACTCCCAAATATCTGAATACGTTCACCTCCTCCATACTCTCTCCCTCCAATCTGATATTCAATCTTTCATCACCTAATCTTTTTGTTATCCTCATAACCTTACTCTTTCCTGTATTCACCTTTAATTTTCTTCTTTTGCACACCCTACCAAATTCATCCACCAATCTCTGCAACTTCTCTTCAGAATCTCCCAAGAGCACAGTGTCATCAGCAAAGAGCAGCTGTGACAACTCCCACTTTGTGTGTGATTCTTTATCTTTTAACTCCACGCCTCTTGCCAAGACCCTCGCATTTACTTCTCTACAACCCCATCTATAAATATATTAAACAACCACGGTGACATCACACATCCTTGTCTAAGTCCTACTTTTACTGGGAAAAAATTTCCCTCTTTCCTACATACTCTAACTTGAGCCTCACTATCCTCGTAAAAACTCTTCACTGCTTTCAGTAACCTACCTCCTACACCATACACTTGCAACATCTGCCACATTGCCCCCCTATCCACCCTGTCATACGCCTTTTCCAAATCCATAAATGCCACAAAGACCTCTTTAGCCTTATCTAAATACTGTTCACTTATATGTTTCACTGTAAACACCTGGTCCACACACCCCCTACCTTTCCTAAAGCCTCCTTGTTCATCTGCTATCCTATTCTCCGTCTTACTCTTAATTCTTTCAATTATAACTCTACCATACACTTTACCAGGTACACTCAACAGACTTATCCCCCTATAATTTTTGCACTCTCTTTTATCCCCTTTGCCTTTATACAAAGGAACTATGCATGCTCTCTGCCAATCCCTAGGTACCTTCCCTCTTCCATACATTTATTAAACAATTGCAACACCACTCCAAAACTATATCCCCACCTGCTTTTAACATTTCTATCTTTATCCCATCAATCCCGGCTGCCTTACCCCCTTTCATTTTACCTACTGCCTCACGAACTTCCCCCACACTCACAACTGGCTCTTCCTCACTCCTACAAGATGTTATTCCTCCTTGCCCTATACACGAAATCACAGCTTCCCTATCTTCATCAACATTTAACAATTCCTCAAAATATTCCTTCCATCTTCCCAATACCTCTAACTCTCCATTTAATAACTCTCCTCTCCTATTTTTAACTGACAAATCCATTTGTTCTCTAGGCTTTCTTAACTTGTTAATCTCACTCCAAAACTTTTTCTTATTTTCAACAAAATTTCCCTACCTTTATCTAAATACTGTTCACATATATGCTTCAATGTAAACACTTGATCTACACATCCCCTACCCACTCTGAAACCTCCTTGCTCATCCGCAATCCTACATTCTGTCTTACCTCTAATTCTTTCAATTATAACCCTACCGTACACCTTTCCTGGTATACTCAGTAAACTTATTCCACTACAATTTTTACTATCTCTTTTGTCCCCCTTCCCTTTATATAAAGGGACTACACATGCTCTCTGCCAATCCCTAGGTACCTTCCCCACTTTCATACATTTCTTAAACAAAAATACCGACTACTTCAACACTATATCCCCCCCTGCTTTTAACATTTCTGTCATGATCCCATCAGTTCCAGCTGCTTTACCCCCTTTCATTCTACATAATGCCTCACACACCTCCCCCATACTCACATCCTGTTCTTCTTCACTCCTAAAAGATGGTATACCTCCCTGTCCAGTGCATGAAATTACCGCTTCCCTTTCTTCGTCGACATTTAAAAGTTCCTCAAAATATTCTCGCCATCTACCCAAAACCTCCATCTCCCCATCTACTAACTCCCCTACTCTGTTTTTAACTGACAAGTCCATTCGTTCTCTAGGCTTTCTTAACTTGTTTAACTCCAAAAACTTTTCTAATTTTCATTAAAATTTCCTGACAGTGCCTCTCCCACTCTATCATCTGCTCTCCTCTTGCACTCTCTCACCACTCTCTTCACTTTTCTTTTACTCTCCATATACTCTGCTCTTCTTACAACTTATCATTCCACCAATCATTCCTCTTTCCTTCTGCACCCACCCTCCTATAGCCACAAACTTGTCCCACATTCTAATACTGCATTTTTAAAACTATTCCAACCCTCTTCAACCCCTCCACTACTCATACTTGTTGTTGCCATTTTCCCTAACTGTAGCTACAACTAAATAATGATCCGACCCATCAACCTTTTATCCACCAATACATAATCTAACAAACTACTTTCATTACATGCTATATCATACCTTGTATATTCATTTATCCTCTTCTTCATAAAATATGTATTACTTATTACCAAACCTCTTTCTACACATAGCTCAATTAAAGGCTCCCCATTTTCATTTACCCCTGGCACCCCAAATTTACCTACTACTTCCTGCGCAACATTTTTGCCCACTTTAGCATTGAGATCCCCAACCACCATTACTCTCACACTTGGTTCAAAACTCCCTACGCATTCACTCAACATTTCCCAAAATCTCTCTCTCTCCTCTACGCTTTCCTCTTCTCCAGGTGCACATATGCTTACTATAACCAACTTTTCACATCCAACCTTTACTTTACTCCACATAATCCTTGAATTAATACATTTATAGTCCCTCTTTTCCTGCCATAACTTATCCTTCAACATTATTGCTACTCCTTCTTTAGCTCTAACTCTGGTAGGTAAGACACATAGGCAACAGCTAGGCAACCTCAAATCTACGACCTCAAGGGTGATGGACTGATTACATCGTCTTCACATTTCTACTGTTCCTGCTTACTTTCTGTATTTGACTGAAAAAGCCTACTGTGTAAGAGAAACGTTTCGGAATAAAGTTGCCTTACTGTTGCCTATGTGTCTTACCTACCAGCCTGTCGGTATTGTATACCATTTTGATATTCAGCTCTAACTCTATTTGAAACCCCTGACGTAATCCCATTTATTCCTCTCCACTGAAACTCTCCCACCCCCTTCAGCTTTGTTTCACTTAAAGCCAGGGCATCCAGCTTCTTCATATTCATAATATCCACAATCATCTCTATCATTTGCACAACATCCACGCACATTCAGACTTCCCACTTTGACAATTTTCTTCTTCTTATTCTTTTTAGTAATTATTACAGGAAAAGGGGTTACTAGCCCATTGTTCTCGGCATTTTAGTTGACTTTTACAACATGCATAGCTTACGGAGGAAAGATTCTCATTTCACTTCCCCATGGATATAAAAGGAAAAGTAATAAGACCAAGAACTATTAAGATAAAATCAAAGAAAACTCAGATGAGTGTGTGTAAATAAACATGTACATGTATGTGTAGTGTGACCTAAGTGTAAGTAGAAGTAGCAAGACGTACCTGTAATCTTGCATATTTATGAGACAGACAAAAGACACCAGCAATCCTACCATCATGTAAAACAATTACAGGCTTTCTTTTCACACTCGCTTGGCAGGACGGTAGTACCCCCCTGGGTGGTTGCTGTCTACCAACCTACTACATAATTTTTATTCAACATGCTGGCTGTCTCCCACCAAGGTAGGGTGACCCAAAAAAGAAACTATCTCATCGTCATTCCTACTATCACTGTCTTGCCAAAATTATGAAATATGGAAACTTATAGAATTACGCAGGTGCAATGTTAGCAATCTGGGCACAATCTACATATTGGTAATTTCACCAATATCCAGTACTGAATAAGCCACTGGGTGGCAAAAAGTTTCCAGAATAAAGAAACCCAAATGTTGCAAAAGTGTTTCATTTATCAACGTGTTGGTTTTGTAAACCATTTGTTCACATCCAGTATTACTTTAAGCCCTTGCTCAATTCAACCAAATTCTTAGCTATTTTGCCTTCCAATCTATTGAATAAGTACAAGAACCACCCATTCATCTATCAAAACTACCATATAAAGTGCACAGACTATCATATAAAGTGCATCAAAAGCAAATCTACATGATGGACCCTGGCATCAATGATGTAGATCTACATGATGGACCCTGGCATCAATAATGTAGATCTACATGATGGACCCTGGCATCAATAATGTAGATCTACATGATGGACCCTGGCATCAATAATGTAGATCTACATGATGGACCCTGGCATCAATAATGTAGATCTACATGATGAACCCTGGCATCAATAACACAGATGTATGCAACAGACCCTGGCATCAATAACGAAGATATACACGATGGACTCCTGGCATCAATAACGTAGATGAACATGACGGACCCTGGCATCAATAATGTAGATATGACAGATCTTGACATCAATAACGTAGATGTATGTGACGGACCCTAACATCAATAATGAAGATCTACATGATGGACCCTGGCATCAGTAACATAGATCTATGTGATGCACAGTGAAAGGGTTATATAACACTGATGGGTTTACTTATCTTTTACCAAAATTAATCATGCATTCACACATACAATTTGAACACTAAGTGGAAATAGTTTTATAACTATGCCATTTTTTATTTTTCAATATGAAAACCAGAGATAAGTGATTTCAAACTGAATAATTAATGAACAAAAAATATTAGTACATATATCTTAAACAAAAGCAAAGTACAGTAAATGCACAAATTCAAACTAACATTGCAAAGTTATGTTTACCTGTGGATTAGATTTGTGAGAGGTTCTATCAGCTTCTTGCCTAATCTGGGCTCTAGCGGAGTCAGAGCACCAAACTGCCAAAGAAGGGAAAGCCTGTTTATTACTAGTAAAGACACCTGCTTCAACTTTAGGAATGGTGAACTGCTAAGCACAAAAATAAAGGCTACAAGTACTCTAAAATAAAAACAAGTTTGATATTCACCCAGTGAGTAAGAAATCACCTCTGCATCTCGAAACATACAGTACTAATAATCAACACTTACATGTTTACCTGGAATACTCGTACCCAAGATATTAATATATAATTAAAGCTAACAGGTGAAATAAAATCAACAATGAGTCCACAACATGATGAAATAAATTACATTCAACATACTTGCTAAGTCTCTAAAAGCTTACTGCATTCTAAAAGAAATGAGCAATAACAGTACTGTTATATTCTGTATGAAACCTATAACAAAGTATGAGCCAATGACAAATAAAAAATTCAGCATTAATATATTCCCAAGAGGAACTCTTGAGAATGACTGCAAAAGAATTATGCATATATATGTACTTGCCTAGCTTCCTACTTTTCACTTATGCAACAAAAATGAAGTTCTTATTTGCATAACTATTTTTCCATTTAAGGATAATGGATGCCTTCCCATTGCTAACCACTTTCACCTTACCACAATAAAAATTTCCTTACACTCTTACTAATCATTATGCTCTATGAGAGACTAAATAACCCCCCATCATTTCTGCAACCCATTTCAGTTTTCTGTGCTATCCAACTTTTGCTCACAACTAACCCACAAATTGAAAACTGCTATTTGTTTGGATTCATTCTAGATCACCAAGTTGGGATAGAGAAAGAAAAGAGAAGAAAGCCAGGAGTCAAAGCAAGGCATCGGATGGTGAGGAGGTAACCAAGGTCCGTGTTTCTAAAACTTAGAGCATTTAATAATGTACTGGAAAAAGCAGGCACCTACACGCAAAGCCATGGATAATATTCATATCATTGATATGTGTAAGGGAAGATTAATCAAAATGGACTCTGTGAAGATTCAAAGAGAATTTGGAGAGAGGACCAGCTTATGGGATGACTATGGTCTCCAAAGTAAAAAAAAAAACACCTTTAACTAACACAGCCCAACAATAACTAAATATGACAAAAGTATATTTTCATGTTCTCACTGCCACAAGTATATGGAAAAAAATATATTTTTATTCTCATAATCTGTAATCAAGGCAACCATTAAATATATTGCATGTTCTCAAAAAATGTTACGTTAGAAATCTCATTACCTATAATCATAAGCCAAACTGTAATCCTCGAAACATTTAAACTCGATAATTTTTTTTTTTTTCTGACAAGTCGGTCGTCTCCCACCGAGGCAGGGTGACCCAAAAAGGAAGAAAATCCCCAAAAAGAAAATACTTTCATCATCATTCAACACTTTCACCTCACTCACACAATCACTGTTTTTGCAGAGGTGCTCAAAACACAGCCGTTTAGAAGCATATACGTATAAAGATGCACAACATATCCCTCCAAACTGCTAATATCCCGACCCCCTCCTTTAGAGTGCAGGCATTGTACTTCCCATTTCCAGGACTCAAGTCCGGCTATGTAAAAATAACTGGTTTCCCTGAATCCCCTGAATCTCGATAAAAGTATTCATTGTAATTCCTAAATCTAGTGCTAATATGCAAGAATCCTCATTACCTGTAATCATAAGCCAACCTGTAATCTTTAAAATAATTAAACTCAATAAAATTGTTGATTGTTAAAACCACTTGACACCATTTGAATCAACTAATTACCTTTTTAGTCTTAAGATTGGCTTAAGTTTTCCCAAAATGCTATGCTTTCTGCATGTACACCTAAATGTTACCCATCTCTATATAAACATTGTATCGTGCTGAAATAAAGAATCTAAACTTGAATTTGAAAGTGACAAAAAAGCATTGTAAAATGTCAGGAAATTAAACACTGGTGTTCCTAGTCTGTCTGAAAGGAAATGGCTAATTTCACCAATATAATGGAAAGAGCAAGATGAGCAGGATATAATCACCTGAATTATCAGTGAACCAAGTGGTATGAACCCATTTGCTTTGGTATGCATTAGTTTGACAAAATTTAAGATCATCATCTTGAGGGCAAAAGATTCTGCAAATTAGAAATATTGGGGAAGTAAAGTGTAGGTTTATTCATAAAAGTGGGATTAGAAGAAAAACTTTCCCATGCGAGAGCAGAAAATGAAGAGGATAACCAAGGTTTAAGAATGAACTGAAAACAAATAAGGAATCAAAGACACATGTTGAGGCCTCAAAGGTAAAAAAAAAACAACACTTAACAGTACACACTTAACAGACTGTGCATGGTAGGTAAAGTAATGAATGTACATGGCATGCCATTGTGCTGTAAATGCTTGCCTTTTGCAGTATAATGCCAAATACTATAATCACCAGAGCACACAACCTGACCCAACACCTGTGGTATGCTCACCTTCCAGAGGCTTTATCTTATTTTTACTTTCTCACTCGTATGATAATGGTCTAGGAGGGACTGACAATAAAGTTTTCAATTCCAGCTTCTGTGTTAAGTATGATCAATTCCAGACACATGGTTGCACAAAGTACAGTACTTACCTTCACATCAACAACTGCAGTTTTCCAGTTTTAAAATTACCCATAGGAGTCCATTTTTCATCTTTTTCTCTTGCCCTACTTTCTTCCATATTCCTCCAGACAATCTGCCATATTCACATAGTCCCAGATTTTAATCATGTTTTTAGTTCAATATCCCAGTAAACATTAAGGAAAATTTATGTGCCATTATTTTGAATAAAAAAGATCACCTGGTCAAATATTTTGGTATTCAACCTTGTCACTGAAAGGTCGAAGTACTACAGGCACAATTCCTAACAAATGGATAAGAGTAGAAGGAAGGTCTAGCAAAGTGCTTTAGAAAGCTTAGCCTTATTTTAATTAGTGTCCTTAATGAAATGGGCACAACATATCTATACATCATAGAAAATAAAACTAAACAAGATATAATAAACAAAATATAACATTCTTAATGCACCAGTCTTTTCTGCTAGCGGCTGACCTACCTGCAAGCTATGTACAGCTACTGAAATAAAAAGTATCAAATCAAATGAAGAACCCATGTTAACATTTAAAATTAAGATTTGCTTATTGATGAAAATGCATGTGTTTTCAGTTATAATTCCAGTAGGACTTAAAAGAGTAAGTAGAGTTTATGATAAATTAAATAGTAAACAAGTTTCACTAATTGCCATTTCTCAATTTCTACTCAGGTGTTGCACAATATCCTTCACACAAAATTAATAATATAACCAAGAATATTTATTCTTGTTATAACAATATCAATACATTAAAAAATTTTATAACAGTACCTTCAACCAAAGCACGTACTCTTTGGAAACTAATACAGGTATACAGAAAAGTGTAGTGGTTGGCAGACTTATCACAAACAATTTTCCAAGCTACCAAGTTTAAACTGCTAAACTACATTAATCCTCAGCTTCTATATACTGTAATACTCAGTGAATTTTATAATAATCTTCATATATCTAACAGGGACAGTTCTACAATGCTTAAAAAAATACTACCGAAGACAAACGGCAACGTCAATACAGTATGTCTACTAAATACCTGCTGATAATTTCAATGAGAGGCTCACTCAGTCTGCGTCCAAGTTTGGGCTCAATGCCCGTAAGCACCCCAAACTGAAATAACTATATTGTCAAACAGAGATATAAATATGAATAAAAATTAAGATGAAATATTAAAGAAATCAACTGTGAGCATTTCCTCTCCTTATATATGATAACGGAAATACAAACAAACCTTTAACTAACACCAGACTGACTCGAACTTGAGACAAAACTGGGGAACCCTTTATACTTTCCCTAAAAGGGCTGTCAAGTAAAATAAATGGTGCACTGGTCTTAATGGAAAAAAAAATTATTATTAGTCAAAAGAGGAAATTAAAGAATCCTGACAAACAGGTACTGTATACTGCCACGTCAGGAATTCACTACATAATGTAGTGTGAGGGTTACATTCCTGAAATCAATGCGCTTATGTAATTTCATGTTATGTAATGTGAAAAATGTATGGGAAACAAGGTTAGGTTTCAGTTATTTTTTTTTTTTCCAACAAGTCGGTCTTCTCCCACCGAGGCAGGGTGACCCAAAAAAAGAAAGAAAATCCCCCAAAAGAAAATACTTTAATCATCATTCAACACTTTCACCACACTCACACATCATCACTGCTTTTGCAGAGGTGCTCAGAATACAACAGCTTAGAAGCATATACGTATAAAGATACACAACATATCCCTCCAAACTGCCAATATCCCAAACCCTTCCTTTAAAGTGCAGGCATTGTACTTCCCATTTCCAGGACTCAAGTCCGACTATATGAAAATAACTGGTTTCCCTGAATCCCTTCACTAAATATTACCCTGCTCACACTCCAACAGATCGTCAGGTCCCAAGTATCATTCGTCTCCATTCACTCCTATCTAACACGCTCATGCACGCTTGCTGGAAGTCCAAGCCCCTCGTCCACAAAACCTCCTTTACCCCCTCTTTCCAACCCTTTCGAGGTTCTTAATCCCTTCAAAAGAAAAAAAAAAGAAAAAAAAATTTTTGTTTTCAATTTCTAATTTAGTCAAAATTAATGGAGTTTTTGATATCTTACATTATAACTATTGCTGCTTGTTGACCTAGAAATGGATACTATGGACCAAAAAAAAAAAAAAAAAACAAAAAAAAAAAAACTTAAATAAGGCCTGGGGGAAGCTGCTGTCTAATACAGTATGCGGTCTATTCATCCTGAGAAAATGGCACAACTTTACTTCTAGAGAAAACATGCAGGGCTAATGTACCACCAGTGAAATCTAATACACATTGTGTAAAATATGCTAAAGAGCAGCAAGACAAGACTTTCACCCTACCATGAATTCTTTGTTCCTGTTGCTTGTTGATATAAAAGTGTTTGGAGATGGTAATGCAGCTCTTGTTTTATTAGATGATACCTTTCATTTATTTCACAA